CAACTTTTTTTATTTTAATTCTATGAGATTATAGAATTAAAATAAAAAAATTTAATCAAATAAGATCAGATAAGTGCCAAGTAATTTTTGTTCAAATTTTAAATATTTGTAAAAAAAAAGCTAAGGCCAAATCTTTTTAAACTTTTAATCGATATTTCTTAATATCTGTCTATTCAATTTTAGTTAATTTTTTTATTTTAATCTTACAAACTTGAAGAATCAAAACAAAAAAAATTTCATTGAAATTGGATAAATGGTTGTTGAGCAATTATCAATTAAAGTTTAAATAAATAATTTTATTGCAATTTTTTTTTAAATTTTTTTTACAAAACTTTAAACGATGTTTTCTCAACACCCATATATTCAAATTCAATAAATTTTTTTTATTTTGATTTTGCAAGTATATAGAATTAAAATAAAAAAATTTTACTAAAATTGAATAGACAAATATCAATTAAAAGCTAGAAAAAAATTTGGCTACAGCTTTTTTTTTACAGATATTTAAAATTTGAATAAAGATTACTCAACACTTACCTAATCATATTTTTTTATTTTATTTCTATTATCTAATAAAATTAAGATAAAAAAGTTTTGATCAAATTTGATAAAATAACTTCATTCAAATTTTAGATGTCTGTAGAAAAAAAGCTGTAGCCAAATTTTTTTTTAGCTAGCTTTTAATCAATAAAATTTAATTGAAATTTTTTTATTTTAATTATATATTCTTGCAAAATCAAAATAAAAAAATGTTCATTAAATTTAGATATATGAGTGTTGAGAAATTATCATTTAAAATTTCAAAAAGTAAAAATTTACTGATTTTAAATTTTCTTTTTAAGATATTTCTAGCTTTTCAAAACTTTTAGCAAAGTTTCTCAATAATCACTAAAGCAAATCCAATAAATTTTTTTTTATTTTAATTTTATAAATATATAGAATTAAAATAAAAAATATTGTACTAAATTTGATCAGATAATTACTAAGAAATCTTTACTAGAAGTTTAAAAAAATTCGAAATTTTTGAAAGAATTTTTAATTTAATTGATTCTGATTAGTTAATATTTGGGCTCCGAAATCAGATCAAAAAGGATCTACAGTGATCTTTAGCTCAGGATTTTCCTGATATAAGGGAACCTGTGTATAACATGTAACAATTCTTGATATTTTTATCTGTTATATCTTAGTATATTCTAGTAATAGTTTCTTAATAACTATTTAATTAACATTAATAATTTTTTTATTTTAATTCTATAAGTATGTAGAATTAAAATAAAAAAAAATTATTGAGCTTAACCTGGTAGTTATCAAGAAAACTTCAATTAAAGTTTTAAAAAAATATTAAAAATCTTAGAAAAAATATCTATAATTATGATTTTTTCAAAAATTTTTTGATAACTACTGAATCAAATTCAGTAAAAATTTTTTTATTTTAATTTTACAGGTTTGTAGAATTAAAAATAAAGGAATTTTTATCAAATTTGATTGAGTAGTTATTGATTACTTTAAGGTAATGATAGCAAAATCATTTAAAAATAATTTACAAATAATTTAAGTATTTGATTTTATTATATAATATATTATATTTATTGCAGTTTGCAAAAAGATATGGCCGAATTATTTCGTTCAGAGAAAATTTGAGATTTTAGATTGTTTGTTTTTTATATTTTCAAATAGTTATATTTATATTTCTTTGAAATCAATAAAATTCTTAAAATTGATGATTTTTATATAATATAGAGATCACATCTTTTTGCAAAGTGCAATATTTAAACATTGATACTTTGGGAGCAATTTTTTTAAAAACCATTGCCATTGTAATTCAAAAATATATTTATATCTTCCAAATATATACATAATAAAATATTAAATCAAGTTTACTAAAATGCATCTATGATATTCAACACTATAGATCTTTATTTTTCAAAAATATACCAAGTAAACGGGATCAGGTACTCTAAATAAAAATGTTCAGAACCTCTAAAAACCTCATAAAAACTAAAATTGGAACTTTATACAGTCAAACCTCCATAAATGCAACCTCCATAAATGCAATACCTCTCTAAATGCATGTTTCTGGCCTGACTATAAGAAATCATTAGTGCTAAATGCACATTCACTCAAAAGATTTTTTATATCATACTAACCTCCCTAAATGCATGTAGCCAATCAGAATCCAGTATTCAAGTTGTGTTATACAAGCCTGCAGATCAAACATTAAAAGCTGCAATTTGATTGGCTTTCTTTAAATGCAAACCTCTCTAAATGCACAATTGAAGCTAGTCTGTATGCAGTGCATTTATGGAGGTTTGACTGTATCTAATATATATTATAATATATAAAAAAATTTATAAAAATACACCCAACTCTAAATTTTATTAAAAACAATTATATATAGTGTTAAACATCATAGGTGCATTTTATAATAATTGTATTAATTAGCTTAAATAGATTTAAATAAAAAATCAGTGATTTATAACATTGTGATTTAAATCATATGCTATCCTTATTTTTCAAGTGTCTTAATTGATAAGTCAAAAAGTATTAGAGAATAAATTTTACTTGCAAAAAATATTTTAATTATATTTACAAAAAATTTTTGCCAAAAATTTGAATATACAATTTATAACATAATTGTAATTTTCTCAAACAATATGATTAATAAGTAATTATACTAGTGCTCATTTATTGTAATTAATCAAAATAACTATTAAAGTCAATATTTGAGTAGTCCTTTATTAATTTTTATTATTTATCAAATACTATTGTCAAAAATTAAAAAAAAACAAAAAAAAAATGTTTATTCAAAAGAAAGTAACAGATGTTACTGATTATTAAAATTCTAGTAAAGTATCAACTTCAGTAGTTTCTAGTACTCTATTCGCAACTATAATAACAGAATAATTAAATTTGTTGCTATTTAAGTGAAAGCCAAGAGATAGTAAGTATTTGATATTGTTTTTTGGGCTTCACAATTTTTTTTATTTTCTATAAAAACTTTTAATATGTGAAGTAAAATAATAATTTGTTGTTGTTGAAAATAATGGTCTATAGCAAAGCTGCTTAAGTAATCTTTTTGAATACTCTATTAATTATAAAATTTTCAAATATCAGAAAATTTTTTAAACTAATAAGTAATGATTGCTAACAACTAATCGATTATTATTAGTTAAATTTAATCAATAACAATTGATAGTGATGTTTGGGTTAATCTTTAGTATAACCTAGGGATAGTCAATTAACAGGGGATGCAACTTAATATTACACAAATAGATTAATTAGTTCCAAAATTGTCATACAATATAAGTTTGCAAAATTCATATAAAAATTCTTTAAAAACTATACTAACTAGCACTTAATGAGACCCATTAGTCATAGATCCAAGATATTTTGTTCAGATATTATTTTCATGACCTCTGGCAAGATTTCACAAAGTTTGAAAACATATTTGAGTTCACAAAGCCCAAATACCACTTTAAGAAGGAATTGCAAAATCTTTAAGTAATTTATTTCATTAATTCTAAAAACTTCAAAAATTTATTCAAGCCTGAGAGCAACATAATTGGGCTGATGGTTTTAACTTGTCAGATATTAATAACTCTAAACTATATACCACCTTTTACTTTTGTAGATCTGCAGAAATTCCGACTAATCTTGTAATGTCGACTTTATTTTATTTCATGATGATCTCATAAAGTTCGAGGCCATATCTAGATTTGCAAATGCCAAATACTATATATTTTTAAATAAAGAATTACAGAATTTTTAGGTAATATATTTCTTTAATATTTGTAGCTTGAATATATTTTAATATTTTAGATTTATTCAAGCCTAATGCTTAAAGGTATTGTTATGGGATAATAGTTTTGACCTTTCGGATATTGAATTAATAACAACCATTTACTATTTTAGATTTGTAAAAATTTTGCTTAAAACTTGTAATGCCAATATTCTGATTCTCAATTTTATTTCATTTATTAAGTGTATAAATTTATTATATATTCTGCATAATGGTAATATAGCAATTATTTTGTACAAAAATTTATATACCTTTATTTATAAGAGCAAAAAAAAACCCTCATCTTTGGATTCTCTAATACAGTATTAATAAAAAACAATATTTTTCAAATAGATTTTTGGTAATAAATATAAGTCTTATAAAAATTCAATTATTTATTCATTATATTTTGATAGTAAATAATGTTTTACATTTATCTTTCATTATTAACAAATTACTATAAATTTTTTTATAAAGAACAAATGCCTTATATTTATCCTTTTAAACTCTAATTCCATGATAATGACAAATAATCAATTTGAAATCATTATATGGCAGATTTATTATTATTCGATACTTCATTTCCTATTAATTATTGAGATTAGAGTTAGAAAAGAAAAATTCATAACTATACATAAGAAAAGAAATTTACCTAGCATACTTTTGATATAATTGGAGTTTCGTTCTTATATTCCTAATGCTATAAATGGTTGACACAAATAATTAGTGTATAATTATGGTAATTTTTTGAGATGATAAATCATTATTAATTACAAAGTTAGTCTAACTTTGTTTCTAAGCAAAAATTTGACCTCTTTTTTTTATTTCTTTATTGAATTTCATGCCACTTTGCAAATTACTAAATAGCAAATCCACATATTCCGATTTTTTTTTTCCTTTTAACTCTGATGGTTTGGTTTGAAATGCTTGAACAAGAGTTTTAAGTTCTGATAAAGTAAATACCTTTTCAAATACATTTTTAGCTCTGTTGCAGTGAGCTCAGATCTTGAGTTGAGCAAGTGCGAGACTAGAATCTTCTGGTAACATATCTTTCTTGAATGTAAAAGACTTTGTTTTAAAATTATTTTTTTTCGTAACATTTTTCAAGTCTGCATTCATTGCTTTAACATTTTTTCGTAAACTTGAAGATCCTTTTCAGGAATATATTTCTTAAATTGTTGCCATGACCATTGTCTGCTTCACGTATATATCTTAATCAATCGCATCAGTAAAATTTTTCAGTATCACCCGATAAATGATTTTCATCATTTGTATAACATTGAAGTTTATATGATTTCTGCAAAAGAGTATGAAACTGTTCTTTTAAAGGCTGTTTGTTTGTCACACAGTTATTAATGTAGATTAAAATATCAGGTCCATATTCAATGTGCTTGTCAAACAACTGAAGAACAAGTGATTCTAAATAATATATAAATTAAACAAATTCAATTCCTGGAACAATCGTTGTTTTTTTGGAGCGAACGTTACTTTCATACTCCACATTTTTGGTACAAAGCATCCAAACATGATCTTATTTTAATAAAGTCCTCATGCACCATGGTTAGAAGATCACTTTTAACTAATTTATAAATAACCCACCCAATAATATACCAAAATTTTAAAGCTTTACATGGCTCTAAAGCAATAATTTTTTAAGGTATATTCCACGATTCTGTTTGATCTATGATGAGCTGATCGTTATGTTGTCTATTTTGTGATTGCTTAAATGAAAATTTGATTGTTTTTTCTAATAATAGATAAGCTACCAATCGCTGAACTTCTACACTAA